ATATATATATATATATATATGTGTGTGTGTGTGTGTGTGTGTGTGTGTGTGTGTGTGTGTGTGTGCAATTGTATACAGATACACACATTTCTATATGTGAAGAAATAAATTTGACTACATACCTAAATACATAAACACACGTGCGCATATATATATACCTATTTATATTATGATATATATATATATATATATATATATATATATATATATATATATATATATATATATGAAGGAATATAGTTTTAAGGTGTGTTATATTTATGGAATAAAATGGTCAATATCAGAGTTAGAGCGTATGTAAATATAAATATAAAAGTGAACATTGAAGTCAATACTCAGAGAGGACAGGCTGTTTCATGCTGGACCCAATCTTCAGGCCGCGAATATATATATATATATATATATATATATATATATATGAGTTGAAGTATAAATTAGATACGACAGAATGATTAAATAAGGAACAATTACCAGAACCTTTATAAACCTGTTTAATTATTTAGCTTCATAATTTAATATGAATCTATATAATGGTAAATTTATAAGCGTATTTTTTGCCTCATTTATATATCTAGTATTAATACAAATATAAAATGTGTCACTTAGCTGATTGATGTTATAATCAGCACCTCAACACCGAAGTTTCGTAGATGAGCCCTTTTTGTAATTGTCCAGTCCACTCATCAGGAAGTGAGAAAGAGGTGGAGAGAAGAGAAGGGGAAAATAATATTTTGGGAATATATATTTTATATAGTTTTTGTATGTGTGTTTTCCAACGCGCAGTAGAACAGATGCATCAATCTATACACTTTTCTGGTATATACAACATCGTTTAAAACAGCGCGCCCTTTTTCTGGTGATATACTTTAGAATTTTGAAATGAAGCCTTTATTTCAGGGTAGATTGTTCTAATTCCACGTACCATAACTTTTTTTTAGATTTCACAGTATCAGTTAATTCCCTTTAGTGACTCAACTCTCCAAGTTTGTGTTCCCTCTGCTGTAGCCAGGTATTGAACTCACAACTTTTTGGGGACTTATAAACCTACTGTCTCAGTTAATTTTTTTTAGCAGAGCTCATATTACGATTTTTTGTTGTTTTACTCTAGCTCTCTGTATTACTGGTACACATATCATGTCTATACTTGGCCGGCTTAGGAGATTTTTGTGGCTTAGAATATGAGCTGATTCCTTAAGTTTTCTTATTTTCCAGTGATGTTCTTTGTCTATTATTTCAACTTCATTCCACGGAGAGTGGTGATCTTCCCTTTCATCCAATATATGTAAACGACGTAAATAGTTTAAATAGTTACAATACTTCATTTCAGAATATCGACAGATATGAAAATCATATATTGCTAACAGTGTGCAAGTCAAAAGATGTTTTTTTATGGGCAACCCAAGACGCAAACACCAAAAACGAGTAGTTTTAGTGTTATGGTCCGGTTCCTTGTACCACGGTGATAGTCCAAGGTAGAACCAATAAAAAAGAACTCGAACACAGGTATGGAATGACACAGATATATTACAAACAGAGAAGTAGAAGTGTTAGTATGAACAATCAAGTTTAGTAGAGAGAACAATGTAGTCTCGACCAGTATCACTATTCCAATGTCTTGCAGTAATTGTCTGAACACGACTCTGTTTCGGACTGCCTCTCACTTGACTCTTGACTCGAACGACTGACGATATTCAGTCCCCCCCACGAGGGCGTCATGTGGCACAAGGCCTTTTTAACGTGGGCTCTCCGAGCCCGTGGTGTCGGCCAGAAATATGCCCATTATTTACCTCCCCGAAAGAGACTCCGCCCTTCGGCGTAGCCGCGTTCGGGTTCCTCCCCGCCCGAAGGCAGAAAGTTCAACCGATCTGTCGTTCAAAACTTGAGCAACTGACAATATTCAGTCTCCACTCCCCACTGGGGCAACATGTGACACAAGGTCGGTTATTTATTCTGGGTTTTCCGAGCCCGTGGGCTCGGCCCAAAAATATGCCCATTGAACCCGTATAAACGGGCTCAGGGCCGGTTTACCTCCCCGAAGGAGACTCCGCTCTTCAGCGTAACCTCGTTCGGGTTCCTCTCCGCCCGAAGGCAGAGAGTTCAACCAAACAGTCGGTCAGGAGTTGAGCGACTGACAGAATTCAGTCTCCCCCCCCTCGCACTGGGGCAACATGTGACACAAGGTCGGTTATTTATTGTGGGTTTCCCGAGCCCGTGGGCTCGGCTCTAAAAATATGCCCATTGAACCCGTATAAACGGGCTCAGGGCCGGTTTTACCTCCCCGAAGGAGACTCCGCCCTTCAGCGTAGCCTCGTTCAGGTTCCTCTCCGCCCGAAGGCAGAGAGTTCAACCGAACAGTCGGTCAGGAGTTGAGCGACTGACTCCTTGCCTACTCCTGAGGCGCAGTATTTATTAAATATGGAATAGTCCATTATTATTATTATGGGAAAGATCCCATAACATTTAGTTCGATAAATTTTAGGTGTAATGTAAGAACATTTTGGTGAATGATCCAAATGCGGATAAATGAAACCCGGTTGTAGACCGGCAGTTTATTTCTACAGTAAGTGTGACACTGAGATCCGAAGATGGATTGGGATGGTCAAGGACACATTCCAAAAGCTGGGCAGAGTATTGCGAGACAGGAGGATTTCTTTGGTAACAAAGAAAAGAATACTGAGCTGTTACCTGGCATCTGTCATTCTTTACAGCAGCGAATATTCCTCAAAGATGAAGAGACCCAAGGCGAATGATGCTAAAGATATCATGGACCGAACATGTGAGCAACGATGAGGTTTTACAGAGGATGCAAACAAGGAGAAGGCGTATACTTAACATCAGGAAGAGGCAGCTGAAGTTTCTGGGGCACATAATGAGGAAGGAAGGTCTGGAGAATCTGATACACACAAGTCGAATAGAGGGAAAGAGAGACAAGGGAAAACAAAGCGTGACATACCTGGAGGGCTTAAGCAAGTGGATGACAGAACGTGGTCTGTGGGAATTAACAGATGGAAAAAAAAACTTGTTGAGAGCTGTAAAGGACAGAAGGACGTGGAGAGCCATGATCGCCTACGTCCTGAAAGGACACGGTACATAAAAAGAAACAAGGAGATCTTATTGTACAAAACTAATCATTTTATTAAAATAGTACATTTGTTGTTATAAAATTATTTTGATACATGTGGGAAGGATATTAAAATAATCCAGAATCTATACTATCAGCAAACCATCTGCATACGGATAGAAAAAGAATCTATTAAATATGCAAGAATAGAAATAGGTCTAAGACAAGAAGATGTCTTCTCACCAGACGTTATTCAACCTATACTGTAAGGCGTATAAGAGTCCTGGGAGGGCCTGGCAGCCATATGGTCTAAATGGAGAGGAACCCTGACCGAACACCTCAAGTCAGGGAAGGAGAGTCTGGCACGAGTCGCCACGGAAAGGAGGGTCCGCAGAAAGTAAAGTGACAGCTCCAACAGACCAGAAACAGAACACACATGCGACCCCTGCAACAGAGATTGCCACTCCCGCATCCAGACGTCGATGCTCCAGCCAAGCAGACAACTAGGATGCTGCCCATGGTCAACCCTGACCGACGGAGGCCTACCTAGTGTAAGTCGATTCTGAAAGAATTAGGAGTCCTATCAGGATTCGTTATTAGCGGACAAAATCTTAACATAAGATAGGCAGATGACAGTGCTGATAACAGAAACAGAATGGAAACTGCAAGAACTCCCACAGAAGTTAATGAAGGAAAGCGAGAAGAAAGGACTACCCGTCAGTTGTAAAAAGATGAAATGCTTAGTTGCTACCAAAAGGAACAGTCCAACATGCAAATTACAAATTCAAGATACCAAAATCAAACAAGTACAACCATTTAAATATCTGGGAAATGTTTTAACAGATGACCGAAAGTGAGACACTGAAACACAAGTCGTATTGAGATAGCGAAAGCTACCTTCCAAAAGCTAAGCAAAGTATTAAGAAACGAAAATTTTGTTAGAAACAAAGAAAGGGGTATTGAAATGTTATGCAATATCAGTCCTCCTATATGGCATCGAATGCTGGACAACCTCGTCACAGATGAAGAAGTGATTTAAAGCATCAGAAATGTGGTTCTACAGAAGGATGCTGAGAATATCATGGACTGAACATGTGATCAACGACGAAGCTTTAGAGAAAATGGAAACAAAAATGATACTTATATTTAACATCAGGAAGAAACTGTTGAAATTTCTAGGGCATACAACGAAGAAAGAGGGCTTGGAAAATCTGATACTCACAGAACAGATTGATGCTAAGAGAGAAAGAGGAAAGCCACGCATAACCTACCTAGTGAACATGCGTAAATGGATGATAAAAACGGTTTAGAAGAGATATCAAAAAGACAACATTTATTAAAAGCTACAAAAGGATAGGAATGTGTGGAGACCCATGATCGCCAAGGCCATGAAGGGACATGGCACATAGAAAAGGAAGTAGTAGAATTTTGGAGTGTAATTATCAAAAATAGTTTTTCTTTTATTGTCCTGCTCTTTTTTCTTTTCGTAAAAGAATTCCGTCTCTAATATTTCATTAATTCTTCAAAAAATAACCAATTATACCATAAAATCTCATAAAATATATCGGAAACCTTTGAGAAATAGAGCAAAATAAACTTAAAAGATAGAAATCTGGTGTTACAACGTCATTTCTCCAAAAATTAATTTCGATATTCAAAAAGAATATTGATTGATTCGATTTGTATAGCTTATCAATCCCAGGTTATTTAAAGCCAGAAAATATTTTCTAGAGAGTAAGATTTTCTTTTGAGAAAATAATTGTTTAGTGATACAAGTCTTACAAATTAACCCATAGGTGGAGGAGAAAAGTTAAACTGATTCCTTTCCCTTGGGTATTTTGCGCGTAAGTGAATACAACGAACCAAACAAGAGTTGGAACTCGGCTCTCCTAATAAAAATTTCGAGCCAGTATCCATGGCACCTACCGAACATCCAAGTTTACAGTATCTGGTATTTCCAAGCGATCACCCATCTAAGTACTGACCAGGCTCAATGCTGCTTAACTTCGGTGATAGTACAGGAATCGGTATCTCAACGTGAATAAAAAGACCATGAAAGCAATTCACTTAACAAGACTATTTTTCCATGAGACAGTGTGAACTGAAATCACTTTGAACGATTTGAAAAACCAATATGGCTGACGGTTATAAGAAGAAACGTTTAATGTCAACAAGCGGCAAATATCAATTTCTTTATGTAAATACCCGCAAGCACATATAAACACACATGTAAGCGTAAAAAGGTATACACCTAAGCATAGATAGATAGATAGATAGATAGATAGATAGATAGATAGATAGATAGATAGATAGATAGATTCAGCTATGTAAAACTACTAGATAGGTAAAGATAAATATTTATGAAAATACCAAGATAGATAGATAGATATCACGGGTGTTAGCACCTATTTGTGTGGGTGTGTGTTATTGAAACGCAATCTTCTCGAAATGCAGACCCCCACTAAGCAAAAGTCTTTGCTTCTTACTCATCGGAATGCGTTGGTCTGTTTGTTATCCCGAGGTGAATAAGATGACCAAGGAGGTAAAAATAGACGAAAAAGGAGCAACGCCCTTTAAGGCAAAAGATAGATGATTCAACCTCCCTACCTTCATTTTGTGATTGGTTTCATATATATATATATATATATATATATATATATATATATGTGTGTGTGTGTGTGTGTGTGTGTGTGAAACCAATATATATGTATATATATATATATATATATATATATAGATAGATAGATAGATAGATAGATAGATAGAGAGAGAGAGAGAGATTTGTGTGTTTATATATAAGTAAAGAAATATAGACTAATATGAACACATATATAAGCATAAACATGCTTACAGATTCCTAGAATATGTTTATACACAATACCATCCAAGGTATACATGCAAATTACAAATACGTATCGGAATACTGTTTTTCAATTCATATATATATATATATATATATATATATATATATATATATATATATATATATATATATCCGAATTCATATATATATATATATATATATATATATATATATATATATATATATATATATATATTTGTATGTCTGCATTATATATATATATATATATATATATATATGTTTGTATGTCTGCATTATATATATATATATATATATGAAAATATATATATGAATTCGGATATATATATATATATATATATATATATATATATATATATATATATACATATATAATGCATATATATGAATTGATATATATATATATATATATATATATATATATATATATATATCCGAATATATATATATATATATATATATATATAATGCAGACATACAAATACAGACACATATGGTTAATTAATGAGAAAGAAGTAACATGTCTCAACGCAATAGGTCAATGTTCAAACTTAGTTAATAATGTATGATTACTGATTTTTAAGATCAGCAGACCTTCCCTAATTGTGAATTTGAAACGGTATTTCTTTGCTTGGCCTTGTGTCACTCTAAGTCAGAGGTCGGCAACCTGTGGCACACGTGGCACCTCAAGCAATTTCCAATGGCACGCAGCTGCAAATGACATCACGAAGTCCGAACCAATAATTGCTACAACATAAAGATATTTAGCTGTTTCAATTTTAATATATCCTAAAGAATATATACTATATATTAATATATAAAATATTTTCTAGAACAAGTATATTGACCTTGACTTGTATAAAACTACGCCTGCTGTTGGCAGACTGAATGACTGTGGGCAGACAGTTAGCAAAAGGTTACCGATCCCTTGCCCTAAGATATATCTACGAGATGATGATAAAAAGTTCTGTACCTCATCATATATAGAGTTTGATTTCCAATTGAGGTCGTTACATTCACTTACGTGCAAAGACGCTTGGGAAATGTATAAAATCATCTCTTCTCCCCATGGGTAAGTAGTAAGAGAAACTAAGACCTATAATCTTGTGGGTTAACCGATCTAGGAGAAGGACAGCACTAAATTCAAAACCCGAAATATATGTAAAGAATTAAAGAGCTTATTTTTAAACCGGCATTTTTATGACTTGATTCGTTATTAAAGTGGAGACTCGCAATTGAAATAGACGTCACGTTTCTATTTTATTTTAGACAAAATGGAACGTCTGCTTCAAATAAGATTATCCGCAATAATAACATTTGAAATCAAGTAACACATACAACACACACACACACACACACACACACACACACACACACACACATATATATATATATATATATATATATATATATATATATGTAATTAAGTAATATATATATATATATATATATATATATATATATATATATATATATATGAAGAAATATAGTCTTAAGGTGTGGTATATTTATGGGATAAAGTGCTCAATTTCAGAGCGTGTGTAAATATAAAAGTGAACATAGAAGCCAACACGATTGCGTCTAGCATGAAACGGACTGTCGCCTCTAAGTGTTGGTCTCTATGTTAACTTTATATATATATATATATATATATATATATATATATATGAAGATCACTTAGGGTGTCACCATGCAGTGTTGATTTCTATATCTATGCTGTTTCTATCTTCCTACCTCTCTCTCTGCGTCTGTCTGACTGTCTATCTCTTTCTCTCTCTCTCTCTCTCTCTATATATATATATATATATATATATATATATATATATATATATGGCCGAAACTAGTCGAGGAGCCTAAGTGAAATAATAAAAGAAAAAAATTTATTTTACAACCCAGTGTGTCCGAAATTTTAATTTTTAATATTTTTATTGTTCAAATATATATATATATATATATATATATATATATATATATATATATAATTTAGTATAGAGAATAGAGCGTTTGTAGATATAAACAGTGTGTACATAGAAACATAGAAATCAATACTGAATAGTGACTGTCAGTTTTAACGCCTAGGGTGACCATCAGACCAAATCAAGATCACTTATGGTGGCAGTGTCGATTTCTACATCAACGCTGGTTCTTTCTTCCTACCTTTCTCTGTGCATCCGTCTGTCTCTCTGTCTCTCTGTCCCTTTCTCTGTCCCTTTCTCTCTCTCTCTTCCCCTCTTTCTCTCTCTCTCTATATATATACACATATATATATATATATATATATATATATATATGTGTGTGTGTGTGTGTGTGTGTGTGTGTGTGTGTGTGTGTGTGTGTGTGTGTCTGATAGCTTAATTGATTCAGTTATGAAATTTTGTGCGATAATCTTAAGTGGCACCGCTAGTGATTTACAAAGGAGGCCACATATGGAGCAAGAGTAAGGACTGTGAGAGGAGATCACTGTTAGATTGGCTGACCTTTTAGATCTTTATCTCGCTTCATGAAGATGATTCAGACAAGCAGATTGAAAACTGCCAAGTCCACTAAAACATGTTGATCTCCATACTACCCACTCCAAGTCTAAGTGCTCAAGGGTGTTATGTTGTATATTGACAGCTGACACGTTGCTTTGTAGCTTGTCTTTGTATATTAGCCATGGGCGTCCTACATACCTGTAGCCCTGATCTAACTGGCGGTACATTAGGATCTTGGGTATCCTGTCATCAGACATTCTCAAGACATGACCAGTCCACCGTAACTGAGACTGTATGAGAAAAGTCTCGATTCCTTCAATATTACACCTGTTAAACAGGTCTACGTTAAATGTCCTATCTTGAAGGTTAACTCCACAGATTGTACGCAGACAGCTTTTATGGAAAACATCCACCAGGCGTATATGGTACCAGTATGATGTCCACGATCTGAGCCGTACAAAAGGATGGCAAGTACAAAAGCTCTGTAAACCGGAATTTTCGTATCCAGTCGAATACCCCACTCATTCCACAAGCGATGGCGAAGTTTGCCGGAAGCACTGGTAGCCTTAGCAATTCGATGCATGATTTCATCATCTAAAGTTTCACTGTAGTTGACTTTGCTACCAACATAGGTGAAGGAGTTTACATAGTTCAGGGGTTTGTCTTCTACATTCAATGGTCTCTCTGAAATTTTGTTGACTGTTAGTTTTTGTTTCTCACCACAGAATTGCTTCGGAGTAGGACAAGGTTGGTACACTACTTCAGTTTTCTTTATGCTAAGTGTAAGACCAAAGGTTTTACATGCAGTAGAGAAACGATTTATTAGATGTTGGGCCCCCTCAAAGGATGTCGCTACAAGAGCCGCATCATCAGAAAACAACAAATCACGAATAATATGCGTACGAAGGTGGGTCTTGGCTTTGAAGCGCTGATGAGTGAAGAGACCACCAGTTTTTCGAAACTGAAACTTGACGCCACTCTCTGTGTCTACAAATGCATATTTCAGCATCACCGAAAAAAAAGGCGCAAAAAGGACAGGGGCCATGACACAAACCTTGCTTGGTGCCATTTGTGACATCAAAGGATTCTGAGATCATACCAACAGACACGATATTAGCTTTCATTCATTCATGAAAAGAGATGATGATCTTTAGCATGTTTTCAGGGATGCCGAGTTTCCTCAAGACTTGCCAAAGAGCCTCTCGATTCACAGAGTTAAAGGCTTTCGTCAAGTCCACAAGCACCATGTACAACTCCTGTTTTTCTCGCGAACCTTCTCTGCAACTTGACGAAGAGAAAATATCATGTCAATGGTGCCCCGACCCGACCGAAAACCACACTGCGATTCAGGATAGATGTCGTCAACAAGGTGTATAATGATTCTGTTTAGAATCAGTCTCGCTAGGATTTTGCCTGCGATTGAAAGTAGTGATATCACCCGATGATTATCACAGACACACGTGGCTTGTTTTTGTAGAGGTGTTTGATAGAGGCGTCTTTATAATCCTGTGGGACACAGCCTACCTTCCATATCTCCACAAAAAGGAGATGTAACGTTTCTAGCAACTTTTGGCCACCATGCTTATACAATTCGGGTAGAATAGGACCCTTAGGAGTAGTTGATTTTCTTGATGGAGTCACTTACCTCTATAGGTTCAAAAAACAACTCAAGAATTTCTGGATATTGATCAATTGGTGTGATGGCTTCCTCATCAGTGAC